ATCGACACAGTCCCAATCTCCAGGCTGGTCTGTGAGGCCATCCTCTTTGTCGAAAATGGAGTAAAAGTCGTTATTGGGCATCGTGCTAAACTCTCTTGTGTTATCACTGAAGAAATTGGTATTGGTAAGTTTTGGGTGACGCCCCAAGGTGCTGTGGTCAAGTTTGGTGGAAGCGAGGGCCGTGTCAGGGTGTCTGGCGATGGTACCCTAACTATCGACAGGGTAGAAGAAGAGGATGCTGGTGGATATGTGTGCCTGGGTGGCACAAAACCTGTTATACACTTTCTATACTATGTGAAACAAACTTCTTTACCACCTCCACCATCAGTGATTGCATAGGTGAAGACGTAGAGAGCTAAACTTCACATAAACTACTACTCTGATGTCCCGATTAAACGTACCGGTACGTTTATTTTTTTCGGCCCGAACGTCCACCCGGTACACTCTTTTAGGGACGGTACGTTTATTAATTTTTGGGAAAAAAATTGTCCATACGTACCGCACCATCAGCAAGTGGCCGGCGGCCGCAAAATTCGGCAACACGTCACAGATAAATATTTGGTCCATGATAGCGGCATTTCCCATGAATATAATGTATATTATTTATTTTTCGTCTGCTGTCCATTTTTAAGTCCCAAAACGTCTGAAAAAGCAAAAATTTGCCCACAAAACCGAAGGGGAAGGCGAGTAGCTAATCGACGTATTTAGCACATGGCGGCCGCAAGTCCTTGTCAAAATCAGCAACGCGGCAGAAAAATGCCTGGTCCATTTTAGCGATATTTACCATGAAAAAAACGTATGTGGTTTATTTTCCCTCTGGTGTTAGTTTTTAGGTCCCGAAACCCCTAAAAAAGTAGAAATTTGCCCACAAGACGGACGGCCGACGTGGGGAGGGCGCCTAGCGCCTGAGCAGCATGACCCGTAAAACGTCAAAGGTCATAGGGCACCCATATTGCGCAATCACCGTAAAAGCGCCGATTTAGCTAGTTTAAAATTGATACAATCACATTATCGATTAAAAAAAAAACAATGAGATGGAAACCAATCAAAATTTTATGCTGAATAATATTTTTTTTCCTCAAAAGTTTTTTTCTTCAGAAGTTTTTCTTCTTCAGAATCCAGACTTTGACCAGACTACTTGTTTGTTGTTATTTTTTTTTCCTCACCACCACCACCGGTCACGCTGGGGAACGACCACTTCCCTAAGCATTAGACCCCGCGAGGGATATTGCTTAGTATTGTATAGAACTAGAACTAGACTAGACAATGTACCATACCAAATAATTATTATGTTGAAATGGATTTTGTTGTACATATACTCATTAAACCCCTATATTTGTTGCAGGAGAAGGCTTAGCAAAGTGCATTTCAGAAGTGTAAAATGCAATAGCTTCTCCTACGGATTTTGTATTTCCCCAAAACAAGTACAATATATATATATATACTCATTAATTAAAGTGATATATACTCACTAATTAAATGTAACAGTGAAAGATTTGCCCATATATTGGTATTGAAATAAAGAGCACATTTTAGTATCATGGACACACAGTTCACCTGTCAATTTGGTCATTTTCCGGGGGGTACGTTTATTCCGGAGGGTATGTTTATTAGACTTTGAAGATTTGTCCGGGGGGTATGTTTATTCCGGGGGGTATGTTTATTAGGGACATGAGAGTAGTATTAGTAAGTCAAAACATCTGGGGGATTTCTAGTATGCCTGCAGCGAAGTTTTGTAACTTTTCTGTCTTCAAACAACATTTTTATCCTAAACCATACACAGTGGCATGATAAAATTATAAGCAATTCATAGCATTTAAAGCAACACCTGGACGAGTTAGAAAAAGAACAATTTGTTTAAAGAATTTTCAAAAGAGGAATGTCTATAGAATCTGATACAAATGTAACATATAATGTTTTCTTTTTTAGGCATAGTTTATCATCCCTTTTCATATATGCATCAAAATAAAAATTAGCTTACAATGAAAGCTCATATATCAGGTTTTCTAACTAGATCTTTATGATGTATTATATTCAATTGTGTTGAGATCCATTATATCATTCTATGTAGACTAAAGTTACTAAACACAGCCCCTTTATTATTTTCATGTACACGTATTTGCTCTGACTCATACTCTCATGAGGATTACGGTATCATGCATATGACATCAGTGCAGATTAATGTAGGAATTAGAAATGTCTTTACTAAAATTTATTCTCCCTATCTCATAATGTTTATATGTTAAATGATGCATTTGCTTTCAACAATTCATGTGAAGTGAAATAAAATACGATACATGTATATCATAATGCTATTGAACAATCAATAATTTGTTTGGAAGATTTTGAGCCGAAAAATAAGACATTATGAACTATGGATCAACTAGAAACTGTTAAGAAACATCTAATTCTTTATTTGGCATGTTGTAGGTGGTACCATACAGTACAAACTACAAAAATCCACAGGCATTTGTCTGCCCAATATAAGGTTGGGTGCAAGTAGACATCAGAAATACCTGCTCAGCTTCAATTTTACCTGCACTAACCAGTATATGCAGATGGTATTTCAAATGCCCTGCCAGCTGAATCCAAAATGAAAGCCAACATGTGTTCTGTCTTAGCACATGTACTATACCACTGTTACAGAATTGTTTCTACCATAAACTGAAAACACAGTCAGCACTCCATTTTCCCTCCTCCTGCGAAACTAAGTTCTCACAGACTTACTGAAAAACGATTTACAGCAAATATGTTAGACCACAACAACAGCTGCCCATGTGGTTCTTATCCACATTTTTGTTGCCGAGCCCTTAAACCAGTTGGAAAACGTCCCGTTTCCATGACAACGGGGGCAAAACAGCCACCCCTGAAAAGTTCAGAACTAATCGTATTTGAAGAGCTTGGAGACAGCCAAGGAATAGCCAAAAGCAATTGTCTGCCAAAAGCCGCTTGCAGTCTGCATGCTTCAGTCTGCGAAAGTTCCAGACCAGGAATAAGCTCCGTGTCTTCAGAGCGATTCCCTTAAACCATCACCTGCGTTTTACAACTGCTGGACGTTTGGTGAGTTTCCTTTCTTTTATATTTTGATGATACTACTTTATATAATATGCACGCAAGGTTACCAAGAAAGCAAAAGATTATTAGAAAGGACTAAATTGTGAGTTTAGAACTGACAGGTTTTTGCCATAATTGTACTCTCGTCTAACCAGCCTCACTTCTCATTAAGTCATCAAAAGTTACATACCCAGACTCTCAACTGAATCAAGCAAAACCTAGCACCAAAAGACAACATCTAGCGAGATATTAGACATTCAAGAAGGACAACAACAACTCGTTTAATGCAGTGGGTTCTTTAGCATCCTCAGTGTCTCTCTTTTAAAACATGAGACACGTAGGAGGAGAATGTTATCATACTATCTTGCATCAGTTTTATGATTTGCTTGAGAAAGTACAGACAAAGTACACCTGGTCCAGCTTTTCTACCAATTTCAGTTTTTTGCGACATTCTTTATTTGTGATGGATGCCTTAAATTTTGCCTAGGGGCATGAAATATATCTTTGTCAGGATGCCAAAACGTTCAGAAAAATGTGACCAAGGAGCACAAAAACAATGTCTGAGGTACGTAGGAGTTGAAATTTGTTAAAACTATGGCAGCCGCAGAACGCGCTTTGTACATGTACCTCAATTTCAAGGAACTTTTCTGATATAAAAACTAATAAAAGGCAATGTTGGAATTCTGAGAAAAATATATTTGACGCTCCTGGACATTCAAAAAATGTAAGTAGGGATTTGTAAGGATTGCAGAGCTTCAAGGGATCACATGACCTTGGCATAAGCTCCTGTGTTGAGAGCCTTTAACACCTTGAGTTCATTAAACGGTTCATATCACACCCTGGTACAAATCTATTAAGTCCCAAGTACAGACAATACAAGTTAAACCATCTTCAGGTACAGAAAAGCGAGAGTTTACTGATTATCTAGCAAGGTTGAGCACCAATATGTGCTTTAATCTAATTATGTAGTGGCAGTCATCAGCTTTAATAGACAATAAGGCCACACCAATTTAATTTCTTGGTTAATAGATTTTTCTAGAAAAATAATGGAGCGGGCGGGCGGAAAAAAATCAAAATAAAAACAGGCCTAGGCATCCTATTATGGCCCAAAATGGTACGATAGGTGCCATGAAGTCAACACACCAGGCTGGTTCAAAAGTTAAACAATGAATTTTGAGCTTTTAATGATACCACGTCATTGAAAGATGGAATGATTGTAACAAGTAGTAAGAAAAGGGCTGTTTTCAACTGTTCAGGGCAAAATATGAGCATTTTGCAGTTCATTTTGAATTTTTATTTTTATTTGCAAATCAGAAAAAAATGAAGCGGCAAATCCGTTAACCAAGAAATTAAATTGGTGTGGCCTATAGTTGACTTTATAATGACCTTGATTGCTGCTTTGATTGAGACCTTGCACTGACAAACTTGCCCATTGCTTGTGACCTTAGGTAATCAATGTTGCAACTGTCCCATCTTTTATCATCTTTCCCAAGTTAAACACCTGCCATCAAAAATTCAAAACACGTGAGGTATTCACCATACCACATTCAATACAGAAAAATGAAGCTTTTTCCCTTGTAAAAAGAGTATACACTGTGGAATCCACATAATGGTCACAGTCTTCACAATTACACTTTGGATAGCTCAGACTGGGAAGGTTGCCCAGTGATCTTAAACCAGCCCATCTCCTGCTGTACCCATCTGTGTACACTTGACACTGATCCCTGGCAAAGGCCCTGGAGGGGTTTAACAGGAATAAACAAGGATTACTGCCTGCTTACTGGAACTTATCCATCTTGATCTTCATCTTAGGAGCTTACCGCAAAGCTAGATTTCCTACATGTAGTACTGGATTTCACTATTTGTCTTATTTTTGTCGTCTACTCCTACAGCACTGTGCAATAATGTAGGTCAAGTAAAATTGATGCCTTTTAAAATTGGTGTCTTTGTCATAGTCTTGTTGGAAGATTTCAGTCAAAATCTTCCTCTGAATGTGAACTTGAATCATGTTTTTTCTCACTCTGTAGGGTACTGGGCAGCAGTGCAGACAAAAAAGCAAAGAAACACAGGCCTTAGGCCTCCCACACAACTGCAACAATGTGGAAGATCGCCAGGTTCATTCTGCTTGTAGCTGTGCAGGTGGGTGTGGCTCAGGGTCAGCCAGGCTGCCCTCAAAGCTGCTTCTGTTATCCCAATTACATCGCGTACTGTCGTAACCTGGACGCCATGCCCGTCGGCCTGAGTCCACGTACAAGAGGTCTCCTCGTCGCAGACAGTACCTTCACGACCCTTCCAAAGAACGCCTTCATGGGGCTTCCGTACCTCGTAGAGCTGAATATTACAGAGACCCTTCTAGCAAGTATCCACCCAGATGCCTTCAATGGGTTGAAGAAACTTGAAGTGCTGGACCTTTCAAACAACAAGCTCAAAACCTTTCCTGGAGCAGCCATGGCCAAACTTGGGAAAAAACTGAAGTCTCTAAACCTGGGTGGTAACTGGCTAGCAGGAAGTCTTACAGCCGACTCCTTTAAAGGCTTGGAGGCTCTTGAGGGGCTCTATCTGTATAATACCAACTTTACCACAATTGAAGAAGGGCTATTTGCAAGTCTGAAGAAACTTACCGTACTGGATCTCTCCAAAAACAACTTCGAGGCTCTTCCCGAGGGAGCAATCAAGGGACTTGACAACTTGAAGGAAATCGTCATGTTTGGAAACCCTTTTACCTGCGACAAAGATGCATCTTGGCTTAGCGGCTGGATCGAGAAGAACCCACCTGAGATCGGAGCTGGTCCCACCTGTATGGATCCTCCACGCTTTGCTGGTTATGCTGCAGCTGCCCTTTCAAGTGAAGTACTTTCAGCAGAGTATGAAATGAAACTGATAGACTGCAATGTTGAACCAACACCACCACCAGATACTCCACCAGGGGAGGACCGCCCTCCTCCTCCTGTCCAGGCAGCCAGTATCAAAGGCCTCGTCTGGAAATGCCCATCCACCTACGTCCTCAAAGCTGGTCAGTTCGAAGAGTACACTGACCTTGAGGAGCTGGACATCAGTGGAAATGGCATTATCGACATTGAACCTGGAGCCTTCAGTTCTCTCAACAAGCTGAAGGTTCTCTACCTGAGCGAAAATTCCATCAAACGAATCAAACCAGCAGTGATGAACGATCTGAAGAGTGTTGAAGTCTTGGACGTGTCTGGAAACAAAATGTCCTACCTTCCTGCAGATATCAAAGAGCGGTTACCAAAGATAAAGTTCATCGTTGGCTACAACAATCCATGGTCCTGCGATTGCAACCTGGCTGCCAACATGGACTTGATTGCACACTACTTCCATGAAATCCCTGCCATCTGTGCTGCTCCTCAAGAGTTGGAGGGTCGGGAAGTGCGAGAAGTTCCTGAAGAGGCAATGACCTGCACCCCTCCAGTCATCACCTACATTGATGAATACGTGACAGTGAAGGAGGGCGGGGACGCTTTCCTGAACTGTGAGATAGCTGGCCTTCCTGTTCCACCTGCACAGTGGAAGACACCTGACGGTAAGATTGTCACCATTGACGAACCAGTTGGAAACAAGGAGGTTCTCGATAACGGGACCCTTTGGATCAAGAATGCTGTGGCTGATGATGGTGGTAACTACGTCTGCATTGCTGACAATGGAGGTGGAATAGATATGGCAAATGCCACATTGCGAGTCTGTCCCAGAGTTTGTCGCTGCCTGGACATTTTGACAGTCCACTGCTTCGAAGCTGACATTTCGAAGATTCCGGCTGATACACGTTTGTTCTTAATGCTGGGCACTGACCTAACTGAGGTGAAAAAGGACTTGTTCAAAGATTTGAAGGACTTAGAGGAACTGGATCTCGACAATAATCAAATCACTGACATTGAAGTTGGATCATTTGACGGCCTTGAAAACTTACGACTGCTCTTCCTGTACAGGAATGCTTTAGAAAAACTCGCATCAGGCTTATTCAAGGGCATGACAAATCTCCTACAGATCTACTTGTCCTCGAACAACATCACCACAGTAGAAGATGGAGCATTCGAGGGCCTTGAAAATCTACAGTTGATCCAGCTTCATGAAAATAAGATTGAAGAGATCGGTGATGGTGCCTTTAAGGGACTTCCAACTCTTATTGACTTGGACCTCCACCTTAACAACCTCACAACCGTCCCAGGAAAGGCCATCACGTCTCTTGAAAACCTCAGGCGTGTGCAGCTTTTTGACAACAAAATCAAGATCGTCAAGGAAGACGATTTCAAGGGTTTGGAAAGCCTTCAGCTGATCTATCTTCAGAACAATGACATCCAGGTGATTGAAAATGGTGCCTTTGCAGATCTTCCTGACTTACAATGGCTGGACCTTTCAAATAATAAGATAGTGATCATTCCTGCAGGTGTGTTCAAAGGACTTGATGCACTACAACGTCTAGACTTGAGCAACAATGCCCTGGTGACCTTACCTGCATCCCTCAGGACTGAGCTTCCTTCCCTGAGGTTTGTAATCGGAGCAGGAAACCCCTGGCACTGTGACTGCAACATGATTCCTCTCCGAGGGTGGTTCGGGTACTCCCCTGACCAACCACCCCCCCAAGGAGCAGGGCCTGCCCAGGGGGATCCCCCCTTCCGGCCGTACTACGAGCCCGACCCCCTCCTTCTACAAGAGTTCCTCCAGCGCGCAGGTGAAGGTCCCTTCCAGCCTGCTGGCCACTACGGAGGTAGAAGACGACGTCAAGCGCCGGGTGGCTTTGCCTCGTGTGCGACTCCGATAGCGTACGCCAACCAAGATGCCAACACCATCCCGCTCTCCAGCCTGATTTGCGAGGCCATCCTCTTTGTCGAAAACGGCCTCGCCGTCCTTATTGGTGAATCCGCAGAACTGCCCTGCAACATCTCCAAGGAGACCGGCGTCGGCAAGTTCTGGGCAACGCCCCAAGGAGCTGTCGTCAAGTTCGGTGGCAGCGTGAACAAGACAAAAGTGGCCGCCGACGGCACCCTGACCATCGAGAAAGTGGCGGAAGAAGACGCGGGCGCGTACGTGTGCGTGGGAGGGGAAGAACCTGTTGTTTACTTCCTGAACTACGTGAAGGAGGTCACCACGCCACCTCCTCCGCCAACGGAGCCACCAAAAGTAGAAGAAGAAGAGGAACCCCCAAAATTGGAGCCACCAGAAGAGGTCGAACCCCCGCCATTCCCACCTCGGGGAGTGGATGAACCACCTGAGACGTTCCCGGATGGCGGACTACTGCCGGCACCACCGATTGGGTTCCCTGACTTCCCAGACCCCGGCCCTCCACGACAACCACCACCAGGCATAAGACCCTTTGGCGGCCCATGAAAGTAACCAAGTAGAGGTGACGTAGCAAAGACACTATGACAACAGACCTGACAAACTGTGAGTAACCATCAACCACAAAAATGAACACAGGATAAGGGAAGTGATGAATCAAAGCAAGTAGCCTGGTTACCAGACCTATTTTAGTCCAATTTAGACCTAAAATAGGTTTGGTAACCAGGCTACTTGAGATATTGATATACAAGTATGCCTCAAACAGCTCTAAAAGTGCAGGACATGTATTTATGCAGGGCATTATCTAGTGCTGTGGGACTTCATAAGGGAGTTGCAATTAGCAAGAGACAATATCATTATAAGCCTTCGAAAAATATATAAAATTTGCTTTTCTCTACGCTTTCTACAGGCTACGGCTTCAAGATTACTGGTCCGTTCAAATAACCCACTGTATAAAACAACAGCCATATATATGAACAAGGCAGTAACCATAAAGTAGTAGCTAGGAAGGAAAAAACACCAATATTTAGACATTGCCTTGGCTTGTGGTGTCTCTTTCCACCTCCCCAGACATCTTAATTAATGATCTCCCCCATGAAAACAAACAGGCTGATAACAACAGCAGGGAAACTGCTGAGTTTACACAACAGGGGGCAACCAGTAATTATACCTGGGGAGGGAGGACAATCAGGGACTAACCATTTTATAAGGAGTAGGGATGCCAAGGACATTTAACCTTGATCAAATTTTAAAAAATCTCAAGATACCAATTGCACTGTTTTTCCTTTGGATATGCTTTGTAAACAAAATGTTATAAGATCATGCATAGGACAAAGTATTTTGATAGTGTATAAATAGCTGTGCCAGTTATCATCAAATTGCTTGTCTGCAATTAGATTGTTGGCTGTTATATTAAATATAACAGATTTAAAGATAGTGACACTGCTTTGCAAGCCAACTAATGTAACTGGACTTGTATTATAATGTAATACAGTATATTCCCATTGGTCTGCAATGGATAGCCAATGCAATTATGTTACGGAAGCTTTAAAGATGTATTCATTATGTTATACTTTAAGTATTATACATTGTACAATAGCTTTATGCATGCATCTGTATCTGATATGTAATGATAAATTTACTCAAAGGACTAAAATGGTATCGAAGAGATGTTCCCATGCACATGTATCATTAACAGTGGTAGAAATACTTTTTCCAGCATTCTGCAATATTGCGGAATGTCAAAATTTTATTCTGCAATTCAGATATACTTTCTGCAAAGACACAAAGTCTGGATCTAAACGCATGGCATATACTATGATATAGAAAATTGCATGTTGGCAAACATTTTACATGCAAAATTACGTGTATATTATAGAGTCAGTAGTAAACACAAAAGCTCTTAAACACCATTGAACCCCTAGCCTGATTTTTTCAGTCTGCAAAGTTGCAGGTTGCTTAATTTATCTTCTGCAATATTGAAAATGTCTCTGCAAAATGCAGACTCCAGATGGGTATTTCTAACACTGACATTTAGGATGAGTTTCCTATATAACTGATTTTACTGCTCATTTCTAACATTTTTTGCTGACAATCTACATGCACCTGCACAAACTTAGATATGCAGTGAAAAAGTACTTTTGGGCCAGAATGTCCAGACCACCCTAGTCCTTCCCCTACCCTTCCTAATGGTCAATTTTCCCCTAACATCCCCCAGGACCAGATTGTGTGTTTATCATGTGTTCCAGTCATTATTCTCCTGTAGTTCCCTGTGAGGGACAGGCTATTTGCGTAACCTGGATGTAGTAAGAGACACCCACCCATTACACAGGTTGTGGGGTGATGCAGCCATTAATTCTACATGGACGTTTATAGGCCAGAACAGATTGCCTTGTTTACCTCCCTGGAAAGGTTGACCAAGGTAGACAGGAAGGAAGGAAAGGGATGGATTGCAAAGTTTTACCTGGGGGTCTTATAGGGTATTCGGCAACCCTGTTTATGCATAGTTGGCTGAAACAAGTCATATAGTGTGACATCTACTTATATCGCCTTTTGGCTTATATAGAAACAAAGTGTGATGCTTTAGATATAATTGCTAAATGTTTATTTTTGTATTCTCTTGCAACTAACAAATAAACCATACTGAATTTATTATTGAAATTTTGTTTTTGATACAGAAGTCGGATCATCCCAATAAGCTAAGGCCTTACGATCGACCAAAGCTTGTGAAAATCTATTTATTTTGTTTGAAGGTATCCTGTTTACAAACCAACAAACACTGTTGAAATCCTCACCTTCTACTAGCAAAGATGTCTGACCAAAACCCCTTCAGATAACCTTCCAGCAACACTTCTAATTTTCCAGTCTTTTCTACTTGTTCCAAAATCCATTTGTACTGTTTGAAATTATCCAGTTTACAAACCAACAAACACTGGTGAAAACATCACCTTCTAGCAACGATGTCTGACCAAAAACCCTTCAGAGACAACCTCCCAGCAACTCTAGTACTTTTCCAGTCTGTTTTACTTTTTCTAAAATCCTGTAACAGTGCTGTTACAATCCATTTGTACTGTTTGAAATTATCCAATTTACAAACCAACAAACACTATTGAAAAAAATCACCTTCTAGCAAAGATGTCTGACCAAAAACCCTTCAGACAACCTCCCAGCAACTCTTCTACTTTTCCAGTCTCTTGTACTTTTTTCGAAATCCATTTGTACTGTTTGAAATTATCCAGTTTACAAACCAACAAACACTGGTGAAAACATCACCTTCTAGCAACGATGTCTGACCAAAAACCCTTCAGACAACCTTCCAGCAACTCTACTACTTTTCCAGTCTCCTCTAAAAATACCAGCCAGCACATGTGGTTTCCATATGCCTGGTTGATTGACAGGTCAGCAAGTGGAAGGATCTCACCATTTCCATGGCAACAACGCTGTTCCCATGGCAACAAGGGCAGAAAGGGGCAGTCCAGAAACTCCCGATTGATGAGATGTGAAGTTTTCAGACTGCCACCTCACAGGCCAGGGACAGCTGCCCTGGGGTTGTACTGCAAGTCTGGCTTCCAAGTCTTGCATGGGAAGGAGAATTCCCAAGGAGTGATTCCTCCCTGGATTATTGAGTTGGATTTTTCTGCAAGTGCTGGACATTTGGTGAGTTGCATTTACAATATTAGTATAGCTGTAATATTAATTTTTAGAAGACACAGTTTTTGCTTTTCAGATATCTGCATCCACTTAGAGGTAAGTTTCTTGCTATGATATCAGTTTTGAGGTAGATTTTATGATTTTCTTTCAATCAAATCTTTTTTTACTTTCTGGCAAGAAATCTTGGGGTCTACGTGTTTAGAAACTTTGAAGACAATATAAGGCAAGGAATTCCTTGTAGTGAATCAAGCATTATGGTCTACTTTCTTGTGAAATTCGACTCTTGACTCCTGTTGTAGGTTTCATGCATCATAGATTTAGTATATACTATACTTCAATACATTAGTCCAAGTGTTCCTTTTTCTTTCTTGCTGTGACACAGACAAATAAAAATTGTTTCCATCCTTTTGTTAATTAATCACAGTGTGCAAGAGACAAATTTACATAGCTGATTGCCTCCAAACCCCTAAACTTGAACCAATATACAACCCAGACATTTGCTTTTTTATCTAATTAGTGTATAAATCCTGGCTTTTCATGATTTTGATGTTTCTTTTACATACTCTGGCAATGTATCCCATATACATTTTGTTTTGTAGTCAGATTTCAACTTTGTCAAGCAATTGATCCTTCCTTGGTTTGACAGCAAAGACAGAAACAATTTATGAGCCTTCCCTATCTAGTAATCTGATCCTTTTTCCTTTACATAACAAATTTTGTAGTCTATTACACTCCACTGTAAATGTATGTGTACACTGTAACTGTAAATGTACAGAATTACATACTGTTTCTGTGCAAAAGCCAGACTTTTAGGGCAAAATACATTGCCACGTGATGTTGTTGGGTTCGGAAGACAACTTAGAAATTTAAATACGGTAGCATTAAAGTACTTCACATTGTTTTAGTAACTTGAGGAAAGTCGTATTTTTGTTTGATCTGGCACATTGTAGCAAGTGGTGGCCATCTGGGGAAGCACTTTGAACTTGAGTGAGATAGTTGTAGTTCAGCTGACACAACTTTGCTAGCCTCACAACCCCTCCTTTGGTAACCTGAGATGGTTGGACATCTGTTTGGACACATGGTCGTGAACTACTGTAAGTCTCTTTAGATTCGCGGGGCCTAAAGTTCGCGGTTTCGGGAAAATGGACAATCCGCTGTATTTTTAGATTCGCGATTTCTCCTTGGCTATTCAAAAAGGAATTTGTAAAATGCATTTTAAGAATAATAAAAGTTCGTGTCCCGGCATTTATCTCCTAAAACGCGGCGCAAAAAATTGTTTCCTGCACCGCGCAAGGCTGCCTGCATATGCATGAGCTCTACACGCAAAGATTTTTGTCGGGCGGTACGCGGTTGACACGGCCAGTGCTATCGCTATTCGGTGTCTCATAATATTTTTTTTATAACAGTTTAACATTAAAAATTTTGATACAGTACTCAACCACGTACATCTGCTAAGAATAAAGTTGATTTGCGGTGATTTGTGGATCGCGTGTTTCGCTTGAACTCGAAGTCCGTCGTGAATGCATGTGGGGGGGGGGCACACTTACGCAAAACATATCCGCGGGGAAATAGATTCCGCAAATCTAAATATACCTCGGAAATTTGTAGACTTACAGTACCACTTCTAATGTGCAAGGAGAAATAGAGCCAAGTATATGGGATGAAATATATATAGACAGAGGTTCTTTATAGGCTATTTTTTGTGGGGGAAACTTTTACGACCACATGTTAGGAGATAAACAACAGTCTAGTAGGGGTCAAGTGGATTATAGTACCGATGATTGGTGTTCTAAATCCTGAAGTCATGGGTTCGAATCCCAACCATTCAAACTTTCTTAGAGTACGTCATCATAGGTAGGAGTTTGTTAGTTAGTTAGTAAGTTTGAGTCTTTGTTAGATGAGTTACAGTGTTTTGTTCAGGATGTCAGCTGCCTGACTTTAAAAGTTAAGAATGCAGAAGTCTTTTCTAAAAAAATAGAGCTATGTACCATGCTATAACTGAGTAAATGTGGATACGCATTCTACCATCAAGAACATAGCAGTATTATACAAAGGTTAAAAGTTGTTTTCAACCCATTTCTTGCTGAAACAGATGTCAAGACTTACACCCTATATCTAAAGGTTGCTCCAGTCAAGATGCTTGGATCATTTCAACACCCCCAGGTTATCTATAGCCAGGAAAGCATACATGTACTGTATCTATAACACAGGACCATGTGTTGGAGTGGGGCTGACATTATGAGGCCAACTGAAAGAGGGGAGATACAATCCAGGGGTCTTGCGTATAGTGATGCATACCTAAACTCAATTTTAGGTTCAGGTCCGGATTCAAGTCCAGAGGTTTAGGTTCACCTAAACCCATGGCATATACAAAATTGCATGTTGGCAACCTTGCAATGCTGTCTGGGTGAAACTTTGGCCACATAACATGGAGGCCGGTACTTGACGATGCCAGATGGCAATGTTTTCTTCATTTTGCAGCAAAGATTTTGCAATCTACGGAATGTTTTAGGTGGTTTGGAAAGAAAAGAGGTATGTGAAATGGTCTTTTATGGTAATAAGTCCAGACTCTGTTCTTGACTTTTATGTTTTTTGGACTTGAACCTAAACATTCTTAGTCCGGATCCAAGTCCAGTGAACCGGTATGCATCACAACTTGTGTACAACTAGGAGGGCTTTAGTTGCTGAATTGGATTTCTCATAATTTATTTTGTCTGCCAGGTCCAATCATGTCAGGTCTAGACAGGAATTGATGAACTTCCTGAAGTGGGAAGCTGTGAATTCAAAGGATAAAAAGGCAGGGCTCAATTTTTTTTTCTACGTACCTGCGCTAGGTAACATTGAAAATTACCTGCACAGGACAATTTTACCTGCACAACTCAGATTTTCGGAAGTAAGGACCATACTAAAACTGTTCACAAGCCATTGCCATATTGTCTTGAATTCTTCATAGGTGGTAGTCAATGCAACAAATAGAAAATCCAGATACACTTACATGTATGGATAAACCACAGTGCAGGTTTGGTGCAGGTAGACATAAAAAATACCTGGAACAGTTCTGATTTTCCTGCAGGCGCATATGCAGGTAGCATTTTGAGGCCTTTTGTTGAATAGAAAGTATAAATATCTACAATAATTTACACAATTAATTCTACCAGTTTCTTTCAAAGGCCAAATTCCCTAGTCAAAGACCATGCAATCTCACTCTTAGACACTAGAAAACGTTCCAACATTAGTCCATATAGATTTGATCAATGTGTTAAAAGTTGCCAATATACAAACAGGGGAGGTATATGTAGACTGGCAAGACACAATCACCCCGTCACAGGTCCAGCTTAGATCAGCACATTCCTGACCAAGCCTGAGGTGTCAAGGTCAACTGTGGACAGCTTTTTACATCTTGGTGGGAGGGGCGACCACAAATTGACATTGTGGGTCAGGGAAGAGGTTCTGTTAGGTGCTGACTGGATCTTGTCAAAGCCACTTGCTCTGACAATGCATTTTAACTCTTTACGATAAAAGATACTACCTTTCTATGAAATGAAATGGTTTTCTGTGAAATCGCTTTTTCTCTTAAATTCAAAATTCTGACCACACCAAATCGATGCACTTTGAAATAGTATGTTGACACTTCTGTATGAAATAGTGCTGCATACCAAACTAAACCCAATTTTAGGTTCAGGTCCAGATTCAAGTTCAGAGGTTTAGGTTCAGTTCCGGACTTGTAAGTCCGGACCTAAACCCATGGCATATACAATATTGCATGTTGGCAACCCTGCAATGTTGTCTGGGTGAATTTTTGGCCACATAACATGGAGGCCGGTAGTTGACGATGCCCGATGGCAATGTTTTCTTCATTTTGCAGCAAAGATTTTGCAATCTACGGAAGGTTTTAGGTGGTTTGGAAAGAAAGGGGGTATGTGAAATGGTCTTTTCTGGTAATAAGTCCAGGCTCGGTTCTTGACTTTTAGGTTTTTTTGGACTTGAACCTAAACATTATTACAAGTCCGGATCCAAGTCCAGTGAACCGGTATGCAGCACTAGTATGAAACTTAAAGGGATTGAAGAAATGATTGTCTAGACTGAAGAGTGAAGACTATGATTGATTGTCTTAGACTAGACAATGGAATTTTTCCAGACTTAGCTTCATGTAATTGTTGATATTTGACAAACAATAGTACTCATTTACTAGACCCCTTCATCCCACAATGACATTCAACTTCAGGGAGCAAAATGATGGATTTTCTAGTGTAACATTTAACCTCAAGACAGAAGTGTACATGTGCTGTACAAGCTGTAGAATTTTCTTTGCTTGCAAAGTTAGTTCAGTCCATTAATTTTCTTCATGAAACAGCTCACTCAAGAGATGTGCATTTAACAGTTAGATGTCAATATAAATTGGTTAATGTACATGTATTATATTCTGCTTTCTAAAATCTGAAGGAACAAGCTTTGAGTATAATCGGCCTCAAAAAGATGGACTACAAAATGGATTTTCAGAGAATTCATAACTGCACTGGGCTTCAGTAACACTGTATGCCTCAAAAGCAACCAGTTTGTGGTTGCCATACTGATCACGACTGACAAGAATATAGATACAAACCTGGACAAGCGTGGCAAGAGCTGTCTAAACTATTTATTACCTGGCTCCTAAACTTGACCCCAAGTAGTGATGCATACCGGTTCACTGGACTTGGATCCGGACTTGTAAGAATGTTTAGGTTCAAGTAAAAAAACCCTAAAAGTCAAGAACCGAGTCCAGACTTATTACCATAAAAGACCATTTCACATACCCCTTTTCTTTCCAAACCACCTAAAACCTTCCATAGATTGCAAAATCTTTGCTGCAAAATGAAGAAAATATTGCCATCAGGCATTGTCAAGTACCGGCCTCCTTGTTAAAATTTCACCCAGACAACATTGCAAGGTGGCAGCATGCAATTTTGTATATGCCATGGGTTTAGGTCCGGACTTACAAGTCCGGAACTGAACCTAAACCTCTGGACTTGAATCCGAACCTGAACCTAAATGTGGGTTTAGGTATGCACCACTAACCACAAGTTTTGCTTAGGCAGAAGATTTAACATCATCCCAGGCTGCCAAGCACCACACTCATCACTGACAGTGAGATATTTATCAGGGGAGGGCTAGTTACTGTGGATCCTGTCAAACAGGAGACATGGGATCTCTCATGTAACTGTTAGGATGTCAGGGGGACCATGTTTTGCCCTCCTTTTACACTGATGGCCACCAGGCCTTGTAAGAGGTCATGTGAAGGTGAGAGGGTGAACCGCAGGGCAGCACATCTAGCCACAAAATGTGGTAACTTTTTGCCTTCAGTTTCCAAAGGCTACAATATTGCTGGCAATGTCTAACTTGACTTGATATCCTAAACTTTCAGCTATAATTTGCAGCACCATATCTTTTGAGCAGAGTGAAAATTGGGAATTCACTAATAATATCTTTAAAGTGTTTTCACAATAAAAATCTCAGTGACTGTTCATCATTCTCATTGAGATGACCTTGAAAATAGTAAAGTCAAAAGTACTGCAAATGTTTTAGCATTACAGTATTACCAAACACAGAAAGCGTATTATATTGGTTGACAAGAAATGATGGTTAATAGTGGCATAGTTGTTGGAAAGTTAAATGTGATGCTGGTTTTGACAGTGTACATTTTTGTAACACAACATTTTTTTTTAATCAACGAACCAATGATGGTGAAAAAATGAATACCATGAAATTTACTGTTTCTTTTTATTTCCTTACACAGGAGTGACCAGCAGTGCAGTGGGAAGTTGTGTAGGCCTAAGGCTTTGCACAAAACAGCCAAGATGTGGAAGATTACAGGCTTCGCGCTGCTTGTAGTTCTACAAGTGAGCGTGGCGCAGCGGCAGCCCGGCCGCGGTCGGGTGGCGGGGTGTCCTCAGGACTGCTTCTGTTATCCCAACAACGTGGCGTACTGCCGCAACATGGCGTCCATTCCCGTGGGACTTAACCCGCGTACGCGAGGCCTTCTCATCGCCGACAGCTCCCTCACAACCATTCCCAAAAACGCCTTCATGGGGCTTCCGTACCTCATTGAGCTGAACATCACGGACAATCTCGTATCAAGTATCCATCCAGATGCCTTCAATGGGTTGAAGAAACTCCAACGACTGGATCTGTCGAATAACAAGTTCAAGACCTTTCCTGGAGCAGCTCTCGCCAAGATCAGCAAAGGGCTAACGTCTTTGAACCTCGGCGGTAACTTGATTGCAGGAAGTCTTACGGCTGACTCCTTCAAGGGTATGGAGGCTCTTGAGGTCCTGTACATGTACAATACCAACTTTACAACAGTCGAAGATGGACTGTTTTCAAGTCTTAAGAAACTTACAGTCCTGGATCTCTCCAAAAACAACTTCCAATCTCTTCCTGAGGGAGCAATCAAGGGACTTGACAACTTGAAGGAAATCATCATGTTTGGAAACCCTTTTGCCTGCAACAAAGACGCGTCTTGGCTTAGCGGCTGGATCGAGAAGAACCCACCTGAGATCGGAGCTGGTCCCACCTGTATGGATCCTCCACGCTTTGCTGGTTATGCTGCAGCTGCCCTGCCAAGTGCAGTGCTTGGAGGAGAGTATGAGATGGTGACGATAGACTGCACTGTGGAAGCCACACCACCACCAGAAGGGGATGGCCGCCCTCCTCCTGTCCAGGCAGCCAGCATCAAAGGCCTCGTCTGGAAGTGTCCGGGTACAACTGTCCTCAAAGCTGGTCAGTTTGAAGAGTACACTGACCTTGAGGAACTGGACATCAGTGGCAACGGCATTGTCGACATTGAACCTGGAGCGTTCAGTTCCCTCAACAAGCTCAGAGTCCTCTACCTTAGCGACAACCTGATGACAAGAATGAAGGCTCCAGTGTTGAATGACCTCAAGAGTCTTGAGATCTTTGACGTGTCTGGCAACAAGTTCACATACCTCCCTGCTGACATTAAAGAGCGTTTACCAAAGATTGAGTTCATCGTTGGCTACAACAATCCATGGTCCTGCGATTGCAACCTGGCTGCCAACATGGACTTGATTGCACACTACTTCCATGAAATCCCTGCCATCTGTGCTGCTCCTCAAGAGTTGGAGGGTCGGGAAGTGCGAGAAGTTCCCGAAGAGGCAATGATCTGCACCCCTCCAGTCATCACCTTCATTGATGAATACGTGACAGTGAAAGAGGGCGGGGACGCTTTCCTGAACTGTGAGATATCTGGCCTTCCTGTTCCACCTGCAAGGTGGAAAACTCCTGATGGCAAGGTGGTCACCATTGACGAACCGGTTGGAAACAAGGAAGTTCTTGGCAACGGAACACTTTGGATCAAGAGTGTCACGGGTGACGATGGAGGTAATTATGTCTGCATTGCTGACAATGGAGGTGGCATAGCAAGAGGAAATGCTACACTACGTGTCTGTCCCAAAGTCTGTCGCTGCCTGGATATTTTGACGGTCCACTGCTTTGATGATGAGGTTTCAAAAATCCCGTCAGACACACGTCTCTTCTTAATGCTGGGCACTGACCTGACTGAAGTCAAGAAGGGCCTTTTCAAAGATTTAAAGAACTTGGAAGAACTGGATCTTGACAATAATCAAATCTCGGACATTGAAACTGGCTCGTTTGAGGACCTCTCCAACCTACGACTGCTGTTCCTGTACAGGAATGCGATGGAAAAGCTTCAATCAGGCTTATTTAAAGGCATGACAAATCTCCTACAGATCTACTTGTCCTCAAACAACATCACCACAGTAGAAGATGGAGCATTCGAGGGCCTTGAAAATCTACAGTTGATCCAGCTTCACAAGAATCAGATTGAAGAGATCGGTGATGGTGCCTTTAAGGGACTTCCAACTCTTATTGACTTGGACCTCCACCTTAACAACCTCTCCACCATCCCAGGGAAAGCAATCTCTTCTCTGTCAAACCTGAAGCGGGTCCAGCTCTTTGAAAACAGGATCACAATGGTCAAGGAAGATGACTTCAAGGATTTGGAAAACCTCCAGATGATATACCTACAGAATAATTTCATCCAGGTGGTCGAAAATGGAGCCTTCGCAAACCTGCCTGCCTTGCAGTGGTTGGACCTTTCCGGCAACAACATCGTAGTCATTCCTGCAGGTGTGTTCAAAGGACTTGATGCCCTGCAACGTCTGGACTTGAGCAACAATGCCCTGGTGACCTTACCTGCATCCCTCAGGACTGAGCTTCCTTCCCTGAAGTTTGTCATCGGAGCAGGGAACCCCTGGCACTGTGACTGCAACATGATTCCTCTCCGAGGGTGGTTCGGGTACTCTGCTGATCAACCCCCTCTACCAGGCAGCGGACCTGTCTCTGGGGACCCCCCCTACAGGCCGTACTACGAGCCAGACCCCCTCCTTAACCAGGAGTTCCTCCAGTATGCTGGACAGGGGCCCTACCAGACTGTTGGTGGTGGACAGTATGGTGGGCAGTATGGAGGTGGCCAGTACGGTGGTCAGTATGGAGGTGGCCAGTACGGAGGTGGTCAGTATGGAGGAGGATACGACTACAGCCAGCAGTATGGTGCCGGCGGTGGGGGTTATGGTCAGCAGTACCAGTACGGCGCCGGCGGTGGCAGCTACGGCCAGCAGTACCAGTATGGTGCAGGAGGCGGTTATGACTATGGCCAACAGTACGGCGGTGCGTACGGTGGCCAACAGGGCGGCGCATACGGCGGTTACGATTACAGCCAACAGTACGGAGGAGGCGGCTACGCACAGGGTGGTTCCTACCAGTACGGCCAAGGCGGTGGTTACGCGCAGGGCGGCTCGTATCAGTATGGCGGCCAGGGAGGCGGCGGCTCGGCTGCAGATTCTGCATTCCTCGAGCGCATCCGGCAACTCCGAGGCGAGTCCAGCAGTTCGTCTGCCAACACTTACAGCTACCAGTTCTACAGGAACAGGAGGAGGCGCCAGGCACCGGGCGGAGGGTTCGCCACCTGCGCATCTCCGTTTGCGTACGCCAACCAGGACATCAACACCATCCCGATCTCCAGCCTTATCTGCGAGGCCATCCTCTTCGTCGAAAACGGTCTGGCCATCCTCGTTGGAGAGGCCGCCTCTATGCCCTGTAACATCACCAAGGAGATCGGCATCGGAAAGTTCTGGGTGACGCCACAAGGTACCGTGGTCAAGTTCGGTGGAAGCGAGGATCGCGTGAAAGTGGCTGACGACGGTACCCTGAGCATCGAGGCGGTGACAGAGGAGGATGCTGGTCCGTACGTGTGCATGGGAGGAGATCTGCCCGAAGTCTACTTCCTGAACTACGTGAAGGAGGTTACGACGCTGCCGCCGCCGCCAGCAACCGAGGCGCCGATCGTAGACGTGGAGGGCGGAGCCCCCGAATTCCCCGAGGGAGACTTCGACGGAATTCCCCCTGAATTCCCCGGACCTGGAGGTGAGGAATTCCCACCATTCCTACCCGGGGGAGAGGAATTTCCGTTTCCTGATGGCGGAGAGTTCCCCGACTTTCCAGAACTCTTTCCCCCCGAGCCGTTCCGTCCTGGCCGAGGAAGAGGCGACGTAAAAAAGTAGAGGACTGACATGACAAACTGTGAGTAACCCACCATCAAACAGATGTGAAGGAAAGAGTAAGATGAGAAACCAACACTGTTGTATCTTCCAGAAAGGTTTGAAACAATTGTAAACCTCATGTCAACACTGTCAAATCAAGGAGCTATACACACTTGAGGTAATTTTAGTCCAAAAAGTCACTGTTGTATGAGGATACTGGTAAATTTGTAGGGAGAAATCTGGCTCTTCAGAATCAGAACCACAGTCCAGACCAGTTTGTTTTTGACAAATTAACAGATTTACCAGATCTACTGCCAGGGTTTCTTTGCATTCCATTGATGTACAAGTAACAGACAAAAAATACCAACCATAACAGAAGTTATTTTTTTTCTTTTGACCATGCATTTTTTACTGCTTACTTATCCATAAGTGACCGGAAAGTTGGATCAGGTATAGCATGATAATGGTTGAGTAGCTGTGAAAATTGTTGTATTGGAGTTGATAGTATTCAACAGAAGTGTAGGCTGAAATGTGCTAAATTGTATATTTCTAGATACATTTGACCGTATGTCGCAAGCAGGACTTGAAAACTGACTTTTCAGTCTTCAGTCCCATTAATATCTGTAGACAGATTCAAAATAGTGATGTATCAAAAATAGGGATATGTTATCTTTTTTCTAGAAGGTTATTGTATAATCTAGAAGCTTTTTCTGTCACAAGACAGTCATGATATAACACTTTTGTCTCAGAGGCATTTTTGGATTAAACTCAATGTAATGTGCTGCATCTGTCGTAGTCTGTCACTTAATTATACTTTGTACAATTGTCCTCAATGCACTACAACAAAATATATGTTTTTCAGCTTCCATTCTACAACCTGTAATTATCCACATACTGCCAACGTCAATTACCATAAAAATGTCCATTCAATTGCATTCAACTTCATCACATAAACATTCTTCCAACACCATACATACATGTACGTCAACTTCTTGCAACCTATCCTGACATTCCGTGAAATCAGATGAGAATTGTACCATTAACATAACCTGGCCATACACAGTTGATTTGAAGCTGTCATGATGCTGACAAAAAAAATCTTTTTTTTTCATTGCAGCATCAGATTTTGGGTCTCCGAATGATGTCATGCCTGAAATCAAGTGTGTGTGTGGCCTTACAAAACTGACCCGAAAGCCCACTTTAGACTGGGAACGGTATACTGATGCATAATGCTTCGAAATGCTCCATCTTTAAACACACAGGCAGCAGGCCACCCGTGGCGTGGGATATTGTGAGAGAGAATGGCAGTAGAGACACTAATTTTTTTCTTGGGACACAATACTGTTCATGTTACATTTTTCTTGCTCTTTAGACCTGTGTAACGGTTTACCGACACTTTTCAACTAGAAACTGTTCATCAGCCATTCCCAGTGTACAGCAGGCCTAAACTTTGTAGAATACTTACTGATACCAGGTCTCCAGAACTCTCCCCAAACAGCTGCAGCTCATCAAAGGAGCGAGACAATGCCTCGGTGTCGTTTGGGGTGACCGTGAACAGCCGGTTGTCATGAGGCGACCTGCCGACAGAAGGGACATCAACATCCTGGACCACTTAAACATCTATTAAAGACGCTTACAGAAGCTCAAACGACTTTGGCAAATACACAAAAATCCTAGAGGTGGTGTCAAATACATCAACATTTCAAGTCTAAAATTAGACATTTCAACCACATATTATTTTGAAACAACAAGTGTAACAAACAGGGTGTAAAGTGTAAAAAAACATCTCCATTTAGTAAATAAAGTTGTAATGGACTGTCAATGTCCTGATTGACACTACCCATTGTTAGAACTCCCAGTCAACATACTCCACATTCTGAAACAGTACAGGTTGTTTAGCCCCCTTTATACTTGACGTCAATTACTAAGTGACTGTATGGGTGAGAAAGTTGGATTTGTGTGGCACTTGACTTTATAATTGGAATATGATACAAGTATGATGCAAAAGACAACAAAACACACAAAGGTGGATTGCTCATTCCTTGACAAAGACTGGAGCTTTACAGTCAAAAATTTGGGTAATTCCAATCCCTTGTGATGGAAATTACAGTTTAAACTGCTTCATAAAAATTGTTCTTTTTGTATGAAATTTGTTGCACGATCTGTCAAACATTTTGCCAATTTGCAGTTGCTCAGCAGTCACAGGCTCTAGTTACACCAGAAACGTCTCACTCCGAAGTTGCTGGTTCAATTCAATGGAAAATTTAATGAACCTGTACTGCACTAAAATATGAAGGCATACTTCCTCCTCTGTTGCTGACTACGCTGCCTCCAACGCCGCCGTGCCCCTGGTTGTTTTGTCACTGTTCGATGTTTGTCCATCTTTTGCTAAAAGGTTCATTTGTGCAAAGACTAGAGGGTATATTACTAACACTTGTTTTCCCCATGTACACGTACACAGATTATGGCCTGTTTTTCCTTTTGTAGTTTGCTGTTTTGAACGTCAGAAGCATCCATTTACACCACAAATCAATATTGGCAATTTGAGTGCCTGGATTAAAAACAGAAACAACTATTAGCTCCAAATTTTCTTACAAATGTACTAACTTAGCAGAAGTGGTTATGTCAATTAATCATAAAACTTTACGGAACGAATATTTCAATATCATTAAAGGAAAATTCCCAAATGTGAAGACGTTCCTTTCTGTTCGAACACCCCCTAGTTAGAAGTGGTATAGCCCAAGAGCTGCAGGGCCCACAACAGCTGTTCACAACAAGGATGTGCCATTTTGGATCAATAAAGGGTGTTTTGACCTCTTATTTATAAGTTCTAGCTCATAAAGTATACACGAAACACTGAAAGGGTCGGTAGGGGGGGAGGGGGTTAGTGCAGAATGTTGTCAAATCAACAGGTTGACAAAAATTGCCTAACTCAGTAACTATGTGTCAACCCATGCTATACCTAACTTGATGACAATACTCTTAACAGTCCACACAGAACAACTAGGTCAAACCCTTGTCCACATACATACACACTTATACATGCTATCATAAACATACATGCTATTATAAACAATGCCTCTACATTCCGTTTGCATTTTTGCCTGGACTCTAAAAATACGGGACACTGAAACTATCAATGAAGGCCAATCTGCAATGAGGGCCAATATTGCTTTTCAGATACCTTTGACCCAGTGTTGATGTCACACTTCAGAGAAGGCACATGACAAGCCTCACTGGGTCAGTCTACTGAGGAAGACCATAGTGACTGGTCAAACGCTCTAGGTGAGAACAATCTTTTGTGTTGAAACAAAAGTTTAAACTTTAAACATAAATGATACCTCCATTACAGAGGTAAGACAAAATGTACTGAAATAGCTCACCGTGTGATGCTGACAAATTTCTCCATGGCTTTCATCATGGCCTTGCTGCCGCCCTCGTGGAAGTGTAGAGCCGGCAAGGTCGCGCCGTCCTTGAGCACGAACAGCAGGTAGGACCAGCCCAGACTGGGGCTCGACCGGCGTATGGACTTCAACTCCGACAGGGAGAAGTTGATGGCATATCTGTTCTTCTTGGCATGGAAGTTCACCGACTCTGTGGCAAAAACAAGATGACTTGATGAGTTAAAATGCTGTACATGATAGCTTCAACTTTACAATCTCTGACTGCAAGCATGAAGGTAACAAAAACTGTAATAATACTTTCCAAACTTTGTCACACAGTGTACATTACATCTAGGCAAATCCTATAAGTCATCTGTTTCTGACAGCTTTCTTTTCGTAATATTACAATCTCTGACTGTAAGCATGGAGATAACAAGAACTGTAACAATACTTTCCACAGTTTGTAATGGATACACATTGTACATTATATCTAGGCACATCTTATAAGTATAAGACATCTGTTTCTGACAGCTAACTTTTTCGTAATATTACAATCTTTGACTGTAAGCATGGAGGTATAAACTGTAACAATACTTTCCACAGTTTGTAATGAATACACATAGTACATACACACTATATCAAGGCACATCCTGTAAATCATCTGTTTCTGACAGCTAACTTTTCATAGTATACAACAGTGTTCTAGCCACCATCTATCGTTCCATCATTTGACAGAATTTTGCCACTCATGGCGGACAAAAATTCAACTCGTGTACATGTAAATCTAAGGTACCATATAATACCCTTTATGAGAGATCCTTAGGCCACACCAATTAAATTTCTTGGTTAACAGATTTTCTAGAAAAATAATGGAGCAGGCGGGCAAAAAAAATAAATAAATAAAAACAGGCCTAGGCATCCTATTGTGGCCCAAAACGGTATGTTAGGAGCCATGATTGAAGTCAATACACCAGGCTGGTTCAAAATTTGAACAATGAATTTTGAACTTTTAATGATACCATTGCATTAAAGGATGGAATTACTGTAACAACTAGAAAGAAAAGGACTGTTTTCAACTTTTCAGGGCAAAATATGAGCATATTGCAGTTGATTCTGAATTTATTTTTAAGCGGGCAAATCCGTTAACCAAGATATTAAATTGGTGTGGCCTTACATGATAAAAACAAATCTTACCAGGACTTGCCACAGTTTCTGCGGCACTTCTGTGAAAGCTCACCGTGCCCCATGTCGGCTGTCCCGCCCCTTCACTGCCCTGTACCTCAAAATTAGACTCCTCTACAGCCTTCCAGTCTAGCTGGGCATCGAATCCACCATCCTACACCAAACCAGGGACACAGTTATGCTCTGGTCTACTCAAAACAACTCCAACTACATGTACTTACCTTTGCAGGTCAGGTCAGTCTGTTCTCATGTGATCTATGAAAAACTTCAGAATCATAAAGTAACCCCTTATTCCAACGAAAGCAGTGAAATTTCTTGGTTCTTCTGCCTGTGGACGCAGCCTTTTCTGTTCAGTTTGTGGACTGCTGTTGCCTATTCAATTATAATCATTAGAAAAGAAAAGAAAAAGGCTTGCTGTAATTTAAACATAGAAAGAAAAGAGAAAACCATGACCACCATTCATGTGAACCACTGTGACACCAGTCATGTTGAATTGAAGTCCCTGTGAGCACCATGTTTATGTACCAAAATTAAAAGTAAAGTAAAAAGGAAACCCAAATCCAGTTTTAGAAAATGTATTACTATTTCTGGATGATGGCAGTGCAATTTACCTTCAACCTTGTTGTGTTGGTCCTGGTCAACTCATATAATATCCTGTTGAACCATCTTATGTTGTACTGTCTAAACTTGCCTTGTCTATGTCAAGGTGGCATCTACTGCAAAAAGTTGTCTTTGAATTTTGATTTGTTTCTCAACTTTAATACTTTGACTTCCAAAATTCGGAAACAACATACTAGGTTAGGTACATGTACACAGTGCATGTAGCTACTCATAACACCACCATAGACAAGGCATACTCATCTTAACCTTTAACATGCTACTCTGCCATACTGTAATTATTAGGTACACAGGGGCATCCATAGCATGCTAAAGGTTAAGCCTACAACCCAACGATGACATCACATCCACGGATCCTGCCTATTACCTGACTGGCGAGAACCGGATGCGACCGGCTGTGACTGGTGGATACTAGCATTGGTGGGACTGATAACCGCCCAGTCAGGTTCACAGCCAGGGTCGTACTCCGGGCTGAAGTCCGTCTCCGTTTCCGTGGGTTTCCAGTCAACATAAGCCTCCAGACCCTAACAACATGTGGGTGAGTTATGATTGACACAGAAGCTGTGAGAGCCATTCCATTGAAGAACTTAAAAAGAGGAAAATCAGGAAACTTTCTTTCAGCCCCCCTCCCCTGTCATGTAGTTTGAGTACCCTATCTGCAAGCAGCTTTGTCAAGTTTTTAAATGGAATAGCCCTAAGAAAAACATTGTTATTCAATCCAGGTTGCCTTTCTTTCAAAGCTTCTTTGGACAAAGTCTGTGATAAAGAATCTGAAAAGAAAAACAAATGTGCATGCAAAATCATTGTTGTGAAAGATGAAGCAAATGTTCTCTGAAGAAAAACACAGGAACAAATGAATGCAGGGCTGGAAAAAGATGATGGGACACATATCTCTAAAAATGCTTTAAAATTAGCTAAAATCTGTATAATTAATGGTAATAATAGCTTTTCTAGTCATGTAACCTTAGGTCCTTCGACCCAATTGCAAGTCAAAATCCAAGAACCTAGAATTTTGCCTTAAGGCCTTGCTGGTATTCTTTGGCCTGAAAAGTGTGAATATCAATGATTTATGGGGAAAACATAGATAGATTAAGGTCAAAGAGCGGAGTCGTAAAATGAAATATCTAGAAGATTGGTCTGTGCCCCCAAATCAAATATTCCATGCAATGCATTTATTAGGCATAAATCAAATGCAAAAAGAGCATGACAGATTCATAAATAAGGCAGACATTGTATGCAATCATTAAAACATTATTTCACCATATTCTATTGAATACTACATAAAACAAAGTACAGTATTCAAAACCAATCATAACTTATATTCAGAATTGAACAGCAATCGTGTAAAAACTATAATAAAAAATACACATAATTGCTAATGGTTGAATACAATATATGATACTGCTTGCTTGAATTAGACTTGAAATTGATGGCATGTAATCATAAATGGAATACACAAATTTACAATAAGCTGTAACCAGCATGCACTTTGCAATAAAAATGCCATTATCTAATGCATTATCATCTAATACAATTCATTATTGTTACAATACCATGCATTTTACGGTATCGCCTGCTGTGCTAATGTATGCATTACCAACTGAAGAGATTTTTTATGGCTGGTATATATCTTTGGGTAATAAAAAAATCCTTACCTTCTCAACCAAGGAGACTTTTCCTGCAAGAAGAGTGTCATCGGAGTTTGCCAAGGCAGTGTGGATAAACACACCTTCTTTCTCATAAATAACCTAAGGGGGAGACAAAAGAAATCATTTCACAGTATCTAATAACTGAATATCATAATGTTTTATACATTCTAAATGTAATGCAGTACACTTTCGAGCTGTTACAACGTTAGGCCACACCAATTTAATTTCTTGGTTAACGGATTTTTCTAGAAAAATAATGGAGCGGGCGGGCGAAAAAAAAAGGCCTATTATGGCCCAAAATGGTACGATAGGAGCCAACACACCAGGCTGGTTCAAAATTTAAACAATGAATTTTGAACTTTTAATGATACCATTGCATTGAAAGATGGAATAACTGTAACAACTACATGTAGGATGAAAAGGACTGTTTTCAACTGTTCAGAGCAAAATATGAGCATTTTGCAGTTGATTCTGAATTTTTATTTTTATTTGCATATCAGAAAAAAACGAAGCGGGCGAATCCGTTAACCAAGAAATTAAATTGGTGTGGCCTTAGTGGTATGTTTCAATGTTGGGGGACATGACAAGTGATACAGATATTTCCTTTCATTATAACAGTCCTCCAAATCTTGTTTTTGTCAGGATATTATTGTATTGTCTGAGTGACCTGAATTTTTGAAACCAAGGGAAAGTTTATCTAAGGCTGTTCAAATCTTGTAATGCCCTCCCAAGGGATCGCTATGCCAAATATGATACAGATGAGCTGATATTGTTCCAATTTTCAAGCCTTGATATCATATGCAAATAGATGTACAGAAATATATATCTCAACCACAATAAGACATTGTGATTCATGTAGTATTTAAGTCATAGAAACTGACGTCACTGTGAACAAATGACTGAAAGCAGCTTATGACACATTACAACAACTGCCCTCATGAAAACCATGGACTGTGAGTGTGACAGGGTTCTAGCTAGCGTGAAGTAGCGTAGGGGCCCCCTAAGCTATAATTTTGACCCCCTACACTAATTTTCAATACAGCGTAGGGGCATTGTGACTGTATTTCTTTGTTCAAGAATGCCAGATCAAATATGACAAAATTACCATAATACCAATCAAGGATACATTGTACACCTTAGAAGTAACATTTTTTCCCTTTGGGTATCCCTCAAAAAAGGCTCAAATGGCCTCTTTTTTAGCTCAAATTTTTAAAAGCTTCCGACCCATCTCCTCTCGACATGCGGCCAGTGCCACTACGCTAAAATTAAATCCTAGCTAGAAGTAGAACCCTGTGTGATGATATGCACACACCACACACAATGTCATGCATGCATTATTTGATGACGTGCTTGTCCACAAATTGGAAGGGTGGAGAATTTATGGACACACCAGTAAATCTAACTGACTGCACATCAAAGGTCATCCATGGGTAATGTTAGACTCCTGAATGTCATGTCATCATGTGACATGTGATTCACCACTTCGTCTCTCAGTCATGTTACAATATGGATACATAGAGACACTCCGAAACTGTTTATATCATTCACAAAGGATCGTCTTAACAAAATAATATATGATTCGGGCATAAGAGAATGATGATTACTTCTTATTTCGTCCTGATATTCAAAGTTATAAATTTGTTTCTATAATTTTGGGAACGAAATGAGTTGAGGAAAACACGTAAACACAGCATAACAAACAGTCAGGCCTTAGGGATTTGTTACCAACTAAAGTAGTTACTACAAAAGTGGTTTCATTACAACCACGACGTAAGTGATTGGTCCAGAGGGTTGAACAAGATTCGTTGATTTGTATTTTTAATCTCAAAATGGACTGTTGTGAACAAATATGCATGAAAATTCCATATGACCAAAATTTGCACTTGCGCAATAATACAGTCTAGGGGTGGGTACCGGTATAGAAAATTCAGGTCCAGGTCCGGATCAGGTTCAGAGGATCAGGTCCAGGTCCGGACCTGAACCGGACCTGATTATTGTACAGTAGTATAGTATATCATATTTTGGCAAGCGAGACACAATTTCTTCGTGTACACGACACGGCCTTGCATGAGGCCGCTTTTCCCGATGAATAATACGGCTGAAATGCCAGCACATCCACAAATAATTTGATCAAATACTTAATTGCTGCGATCTAAAATCTTACAGGGTTCTCTTAGCGGGGGTTGTTTATTGTTTTGATTGGTAAAACGCAGGGTAAAATTTAGCCACGCCGCGGTCCACACTTCCGGGTTAAGTGACGACAAAATCACGTCGAAAACGCTAAAAATCCGCATAGAAGCATATATTTTCCCCAAAGATTCTTGAAACTATACATTTCTTCACTAGAATATCGATGTGTGGTTGTGCAAAATAGAATTTTAGCGCCGATATCGAACAAAGAAAAGTTGTTTACATGCGCGTCGGCTCGCTCAAGTCTGCCGCCTCGCTCCCTACGCTGCCAGCAGCGGGCGCAACAACCAATCAGAGATGCGAAATGCCGACACGTGACGCGGGATTGCGTCACAATGGGGGAGGGCTCGCCGTGCACGAAATGTTTTTGCGTCAATATTCAGCGCCGTGTTTCAAGAGATTGATACCGGGAAACATTTTTTTTTCTTGTTTTTGAACGCATAAACATGGATTTAGGCTGATCTAGTATGATTCAGGGTTATTTTTTTTTACCTGCCATGGCCAGATTATCTAAAGATGTGTGTGTTGTGTGTACAATCTACAGAAATGTACATCAGGTCCGGTCATCCGGTTTTCACGTTTCGGTTTTTTGGACTCGGTTCTTGAATGTTGTTCCGGTCTAAACCGGTCCGACTGAACCGGTACCCACCCTTAAAAAATTACAGTCCACTCCATATAACACCAAATGGGGACAAACACGTAAGATCTAAAAAAAATGTCCGTTCCCATAAGTGGGACCAAAGCAGGCTTCAAGTTATGCCAACGAAGGATTGGATTATTCTCATGCAAAGTGGGAGTTGTCAAAAATTTTGACCAAACAGATTGGCAAATGTTTACATTTTTCGAACGCAATTTTTCGGTTCCAGAACGATACCTGAATGTCCAAACTACACTTAATCCGATCTAGTATTTCTCATCTACACGTACATGTATAATGTACTTGAGTTTGTCGATATATTAACATAGAAAATGGAAGAAATAAAAGCAGAACTCCAAACTCACCCTTTCGTTTGTCGCCGCCATTTTGAACGTTTAGTGAGTTACGTCATCAACATGTGAGGCAACATCATCAGACTGTTCTATTATTTTCCACAGGTGGGGGATCTCCTAACTGTTTTGTATGTATGTGTTCATCATGTATGTCATATAAACTAAGATTTTTCAATTCATAAAACGATACAAAGTCTCAATTTTGTGTAAACCCTTGGTTACACATGAGGATATGAAGCTTTAAATATATATTGCTAGTATCGTTTATTTCCCCCTAAAAATAATGAGTCTAACCATAAGCTGCTGTTATGTGCCCTAAGATTCGAATCACTATGTCTTCTTCTAAAACGTTTTTACATTATAAAATTACATAGTCCTTTACTGATATTGCAATAATTTATTCAAACTATATGTGTAAAATATTGATTCTGTCAACATTTTGTTTTGAATACAATTTTGTTTATATAGAATATTTGAGGCTCTGCTCGTATCGAGCCAGAAATAAGAAACTATGCTTACGTCCAGGTCAATATCAAAACACAGAGGTCTGCCCGGAAGCGGGAACGTGGCTGCCCTAAAACACACAAGGTATGTTTTCTCGATTTTCTGCAAATTTTATCCATCATTTTGAAGTTTTTCTGGACTTTCGTGATGCAGAAGCCTCAAATGAAGCTCCCTCTGTCCGTTAATTCTGTTTTAGATCGTTATGCATTGTGTGTACGCTATGGTCGTGTACTGTTATGTTTGAGTGTTTGTCTTAGGCTGACAAAGTGTGTACATTTCGTCAATAAACGATGTATAAATTGACCACATTTGGAGTGGCATGAGCCAGTTTAACTTCAGTTGCAAAGGGAAGGTAAACAGTAAGCCGGGAAAACAGTAAGGACTTGGAAAAAGGAAGAAGAAGAAGAAAATATACATCTGGTGTTGATCAGGGTCAATTAACGGTTAACATTTAAAAACGTTAACGTTGCATTTAATTTTAGCCCACGTTGGTTGCAGTACAAGTGTTATATTACCACAACGTATTTGACCTCCATACAGAAAATTTCTATACTCCCCAAGATATTGTATATTTGTTTGCAAATTCCAATAAATAAATAAACTTAGTCCTGAATATTCTCCCTTCTTGTTGACAATGCATTAAAAAAACAATTGCGAGCAAAATGACTTGCAAAAATGAGGCAAAACTGTACGTCCGCTTGCATTGACAGATCAATAGTACTAGTATTTTTGTATGGCCTTGTTTGCTTTCGTCTATTGTTAAACATGTATTGTACTACTAGACATTGGACCTTGATAACTTAACGTTACAGCAAAAGATATGTGTCTTAGTAAATAATTAAAATTGTGCAGTTCTGGTTAAAAGTGCTAATTGCCGGTGCATTCAATAATGTTTTGGCTAACACCATTATTTCTTGGACCACGTTCAAATTGTCCAAAGCAGTCGCCTGGAAAGAATGTAACGAGAAAATATAATTAGCTTCACAAACATTCATCTGTGCTCTACTGGCAAAGAATTCACGAGGGAGTGCATTTACCCAGAATTACACCCTTTAATTAGATGTTACATGCTAAAGTAATACATAGTCATTTCAAAGATAGATGGACGTAACACAGTGTAATGGTATGTGAATGAATGATCTGTTATCATTGTAATTGTAGGCATAATGTATATGTATTACAGGAAAATTTGACAAATGGTCTTATCATTTGTTATTTACTTATTCTATTTTTGGAAATCTACTATAGTATATGCATGCAAGTATTGTATATCAAAAAGGCACACAAAACCAAAACCTTTATTCTGTATAGCCTCCGATCCGTAGCAGGCTTATAGAACTGGGGGTTTGGTGGTCTTTGGCCATGTCGGCTGTTTTCTGATTAGCCCAGTTCTAAAAACGGGGGTACTAGTAATTCAACCAGGCCGGCTATGTTGTCTATATGCAATCAGACAATAGCACAAAAAAGCTCCCAAAGACCCTGAAGAAGACCCCCCAAACCCCCAGTTTTTGGCATGCTATGGAGGCTACTATTTTGAGAATTGAGAAACTGTAGACCAGCTTTACGTCGTTCTATCGGCAGTGCGTGAAGAGAAAAGAAGGGGTCTAATAATAACCACCTTGCCCTCAGGGATCTTCTGTCACTTCCGAGCAATTATGTAAGGACACTTGTACGGCTTAAACATTAGAGGACAATGCTGTTTTGATGGCAACAAGAAGCGTTACACGATAATTATAGAGAGGGCTTCCTGGTCAGTCACAACAATTACCGTCTAGAACGGAACACAAAAATTAGGTGATAGGGTGGTCACCTCTGTATCTGCCATCACAGGTAATTGGATCACATGTCGTTACAGGAAATGGCCCCTGAATAAAACAAAGGGTCTGGCGAGACTAGTCTGGGATACAGTACTTTGTAAAGATTGGTATTTTTTATGTGCAGGGCTTGAAATTCATTTTTGGGAATGGGTACACTGGTGCACCCAACCAAAGAAAAATAGAGGCACAAAAATTTGAGGTGCACAATGTAAAATGTCTTAACTATCTTAATGAATTATCTTTAAATAAGAAAGATTTTATTCTGATAAAGTGATCTATGGAACAAAACAACAGTATTTTTGATTTCTAGAAAAGCACATAGATTTTGGCACCAAACTTGAGAAAAAAATTTGAGGTGCCCAATGTAAAATGTCTTAACTATCTAAATGAATTATCTTTGAACAACAAAGATTTTATTCTGATAAAGTGATCTGTTGAACAAAACAACAGTATTTTTGATTTCTAGAAAGCACATAGATTTTGCCACCAAACACCAGCATAGGTAACAAAATAATATTCTGTAACCTAATAGTACGAAAATGTAAATATGAAAAAAATAATCTCAAGGGGACAATGTCATCCATGCAAATGCAGAAGCAGTTACCGGGTAAGGGATGCATGCTGCTGCATACTGCTGCATATTTAACACCCCTGACCTAAACGTGCAGGAAAATTGGTCTGGTAGCTACCTAATAATTAATATTCATTCCTTGACAAAGACTGGTACCGTTCAGTGGAAAATTTGGGTAACCGTAAGTCCCATATTGTCTGTTTTTGTTAGAATTGCAATTTAATTATGCTACAGCATAATTTCTAAAAACATAGAGGTATTTTTTCAACCTAATATGCTTTTTACAAAAAGGTATCATGAGCAAGACAAAAAATACAAGACAAGAGTAGGTCCATTTTCCATGGAACCTTCCGTAGCCAGTTCACCTATTCTTGACTGGCAGTTATGATTTTGCTGTGAGAAGATATATTTGAAGATCGATACACTACAGTTTTTGTGATGATGAAGGTCACAAAAGCAATTAACCCTCCAATACAGTAGCTGTATGTCAGCATCTTTATTGCACAATAGTAGCCAATAGTGCTGTGCGTATGATATTGCAATCATCATAAAATCCTTTTTCAATCGCAGGATTGTGGCAAATCCTTTTACAGTCTTTTATTTGGGTTAATCACAAATTGGGATCGAAATATTACCTGTCTGCATGTGCTGCCTAGTTTATTATAAAGGTTAAAGAAATATGTCTATATTTAAACCTTGTCTCAACATCTGAGTACAGTATTCAGTAGAATTAACACCCCTGATATTGAATGGACTGGTCCAGTTTTTGATTGACAGGTACTAAGCACCATGAAATATCTGGTAAGCCTCCTGACCCTCCCTCCCTTCCATCACCATGGCAACCAGGGTCCAGCTGTCATCACCATAAAAGGGTTTAGACAGAATAGATGGTATCAGGGCTCAGATCAAATGACACACAGCCTATCTGACAAGCATAAGTGCAATCTGGAGAACACTGCCTTTTCCCAGTTGTATGGAAACATGCTGAGGCAGTTTATCATGATGTGATATTGCCCCAGTTGCTTTGCAGGCATGCCCTCCCATTTGGTGCTTCTCTTGTGCTTGCAAGCCTCATGAAATACTAGCAAGCAAAATATTGTTCCCTTCCAAAAACGAGTGGACAATTTTTGACTGGCACCTCTAAAATGGGACTGAAAATACGATATATTAATAGGAAATAAATTTAGTCTATATGGTAACAGTGAGGAACAACTAGTGTATTCAGGGTAGGTTTTTTCCTGCTCTAATCAAGCCCCTAAATAAGTGCAGACATAAAGCTATCTAGCATGGCATTTAGCCTTTGCTTGGCATCCTTTCGTATTCAGCCCCCTGGTCCCTATTCAAGTCCTATCCTATTCTCGATGGGTACTGGATAGAACTGTGCGGGCTACCACAGGAATTATATTGGGATAGATACCAGGCTAATCTGGAATGACTAACAAGAAAGGGTAGAAAGAAACTTTCTGAAGGTATTTCCGTAAGATATAAAATATTATATTGCTGTAGATATTTTGATTTGATAAAAAGATACTATGAGTATGACAGCGGTGGTGATAGCTTATGCTGGTATAAACTGGATGCCGGACTGTATATGTAGTACTAGCATGAGTACGGCATTAAGCCAACGGGTTAGTATCACTCAATTAGGCTAATGGACACTTTCAGTGGACCTTTCTCAGTGGAAATTAGTCATTGCCGTTTCTACTGTGGGAAAGAACAGACCACTATCCCAGTAAGTACTGCAATATATCCGATTGAAGACCATGAACCCTGATTGAAGTGCCAGCCTGCGGCTGTCTTACTGAGGGATGACTGCGGTGTGAAAGATGTTGGTTATATAAATAGATGGCAGATTAGCTGGAGGATTATTAATTATAAAGTCAGCTCCAGGGCTCAAAATCCCTTTTCTGTTCTGGTTAGGTGCAGATCAATACAAAATATACCCGCACAAGTCCAATTTCTTTAATACAACATTAACTTGGATATGCAGTAGCATTTCGAGTCCTGAGTTTGGTCCTAGACCAATCAACTGGTGTCAATACTTTGGGATTGAGAATGGAACACCTGTACAGTACATTTGTTTGTTTGTTTGTTTGTTTATTTCGATCCCCATTAGTGCTTAAAAGCACTATTCTTCCTGGGGTCAATAACATGAAACATAAATAACAAAACTTGTACATTTGTAGCTGA